ACTTAGAGCGCAGAGACACAGAGTGCAGTGGGAGAGGGTACGGTCCTCGATGCACCGAATAGACACTGCCAGCATAGTCTTCAGGATGTCACAGCTACGTTGTGTGGTAAGAAGAACATACTCTGTCCCAAGCCCCAAGTCATTGATGCACATCGATACAAATCACAAATTGATACGGTAAGTAAAAAGAAGAAAAACAGTACACAATGCACATAGTGTTTGTGTGTAAAAGTAAAAACTAATTTTTATAATTTTTATCAACCAAGGTACAACATCGTGATATTTGGAGGGATAGATGGCTTTTCAAGAAAGGTATGGAGCATAAGAAACTGTAAGAAATTATCATTCTACTACGTTGGTGAAAGGGGCAATATCTAATAAGTCTCCTGAATGAAATGATAAAGTGAGCCTACTATATGATCAGACATTAAGGAAACATGCTATGTTGAAGTGCTGGCTTCTCTGACAACAATGCAGCAGCCAGTATGTCCTCCTTCTAACTTTAGATTCTGCTCCTGAATGCTCTGTTTTTGTTCTGATATGATGTTTTTAATTTGAAATGCAGTACCCAATTTAAATGCTATGGAGTTACATATTGCACCTTTAAGTATTTAAAACGAGCAAAAAAATTGCTTGAATACAATGTTGCTACCCTAGAGTGTAAAATAATTGAAAAATGATTAGGATGTGAACATTTTCAACTGTCACTTGCCATATTATTGTAGTGATATATGGAATGATCTTATGCCTACATGATAGTCCTATAACAACATTATTATATGATTATTAGACACCAACAACAACATTTAAGAAAATTAAGCATTTTGAGTAAGTTAAAAATGTGGGACCCCCATGCATACAATTGGTAATATGTAGAATGAGGCAGGATTAACAATAAAATCTTGAGATCATACAAATACACTACCTTCTCTGATTTGTGTTCTTACATCTAGATCATGTATCTACGTGTCACAAACAACAATCTGGCATCAACAACCCTGGCCTTCTTCAGTGAAGCAGTGCAGAATTTTGGTTTGCCACTGAGGTAAAAAAAATAAAGCAATTTTTTTGTGCTTTCTCGCTGTCATTTGTAACATCACTTAAATATCCAACATAGGGTCTTGATCTGTTCAAATGAGATATAGCATAATTTGTATTTATAACAAAATAGGTATCGTATAAGCACTGTGTACTGTTCATTGACTGCTTTGTTTGTGGTTTCTCAGGGTCCGGGGTGATCATGGAGTGGAGAATGTTGATGTGGCTCGTTTTATGTTCTCTGTCCAGGGAACAGGCAGGAGTAGCTTCATTGCAGGCAAAAGCGTTCACAATCAGAGGTGATGATAAATATGCATATAAAAAGGCACATAAAATTTCAAATGTGTGATTGGTGACCTGTTGTTTACTTGTCTCAACGCATAATGTAAATGTATTTTTAAGATCTCAAAAGGTACCAGACGAGGGGATCCATTGTCACCATTGATGTTCGTACTATCTATTGAACCGCTGGCAGAATATATTAAGGTAGAACAGAAAATAAAAGGCATATCTATAGCAGGAGAAAATCACAAATTGGCAATGTATGCTGATGATATCTGAATTTATTTATATAAACCTGAACAGTCAGGTAAAGTACTAATGAAGGTAATTAAAGAGTAATTTCAGGGTACACATTAAATATAAATAAGTCTGAGGAAATGCTAATGGGCTGTACAATCGGGGATGAAATCAAACAGAAATATGCATTTCATTGGGATGTCGAGAGGATAAATTACTTTATTTCCTCAATTAAGATGCTAGAAATGAGAGAGAGATTAATGAGCATTATTGTAATGCTGATGTTCTGAGTTTTAACTCGACTTCCACATAACTTACGCGAACGTGCACGAGCCTGCTGGTTAAGAACATCGGTAGGTAATCAGTGTTGATAAATCCCATGTTCTTAAACAGCAGGCTCGCACACGTTCGGGGACATTTGCATTCAGAAACGCCTCCAATTAACCATTTATGGTTACACACCTCTTTAAAAACCACCTGAACATATTTGCCTCGCCGGAAAAATAACTACAAGAGCAAAGAAAAGGAGCTTCATAACAACAGGAATGGAAGTGGAAGAGGTTGAATAAAAAAGGGAAATAAATAGATAGATAAATAAATAAAGAGATAAAATAAGGTTAGTAAATGATTAGTCTTTTCACTTAGTCGAAGTTACTAACAAAAGAACAAATGCTGCATGAGAGAAGGTGACAGGTCGGAGGAGAAAACACCAAGATGAAGTTTGATAATAAGTTCAGTGCAAAAAATAACAACGCATCAAGGCACAAAAGCGAGAAGTATCTGCTCCACAATTTCACCCTTGAACATTTACAGCGTGGTCGGGGGCACAGCTCTCTCTGGGGGATTAATCAAACAGTGACGCTCTCCCATCAGAACAAGCTGGACCAAACGGATCAGTGCGCTCTTTTGAACAGACTTACTGCGCACGCTTCACCAAATCATCTGATAATGCAAAACCAGCCATGATGTAACATTTCAAAGTAACGCCTGTCACAGCAGACTTTTTAAGGTTTTCAGACCAATTAGGCAACGGGTCTGAAAATATCAAACTGAAATTATTGTCACTGTGTTGTTGTTAAGAAAACAATAAAATAAGTTTGAAGAAATTATAGACTTAAAACTTTCCTTTTTGATAAATCTTATAGTTAGGGCTGCTGCTGGTGTAGACCAGCTCTTAGTTATGCTGCTATAGGCTTAGACTAGCGGGGGAACTGGTACCTTGAGCTCTTATCTCTCTCTCTCTTTCTCTTTCTCTCTCTCTCTCTCTCTCTCTCTGTGAGATCATATTACTGTCGCTATCTTTAAATCTCAGTTACTAACAACATCATTTCCTGGGAACTCCTGAGCTCTCTGAGGCCCCCCCCCCCGTTCCCTATCCCTCTTCCTGCATCTTATCCCATCTCCCCCTTTCCTTTTTTCAAGCCAGGTCCAGTCTTGGCACGAGGGCTGTTTCATCATGAGCCTGGGATCCTGCCGAAGATTTCTGACTGTTAAAAGGAAGTTTTTTCTTACCACTGTAAATGTTGCTGCTTTGATGGATCTTTAGGTCTTTGTAATATTGAAATAAGTAAGGTCTTTTTACCTGCTCTTTTGTAATATTAAATAAGAGTAAAGTCTTTTTACCTGCTCTTTTGTAAAGCGTCTTGAGATGACACTTGTTATGAACTGGCGCTATACAAATAAAGATTGATTGATTGATACTAGGCATATTTGCGAGGTGAAAGCTAAAATTAGATGTTTCCTCATTTCACACAGATTTTTTTTGCTAGATTTGACAAATTGCATCATCTAAATCAGCTGGTTCTCCTTTTTCATTTTACTGAAAGCTGAAATGTTAACAAAGGGGCAAAGTTACATTGGGTTTAGGTACCAGTGCAGTTTCCTGTGAGTCCATCTGAACATTATGTGGGGTGAAGTGACTCAACTGCTGAGATCTTGTTTTTACCGCGATTATTCATTTTTGCAGTTACCGCGACAGCCCTAGTTGTAATGATAATAGTGCTGGGCGATATGGCCTAAATTTGATATCACAATATTTTTTTGCCTAATGTCGATATTCGATATGACTCGATAGTTATCATATTAAAGTTTATAAATGTAGTCAATAAAACTGAATCTCCACTGTATAAAAAAAAAAGATCATTGAACCGCTGGCCCAGGAACATTACTTTTGATTCGAGAAATAACAGCCACCAATTTACTCTTGAACCATTCTGATGCAAAAGTCAGTTACAACTTTTATTTAATTAATTGAGCTCTAATTATAAAAATATTGTGTATTTTTCTTACATTTATGTGCTCATGTTTATTCACCATGCTGGTAACTGTAACAGTCTACTTAATCTGATATTAATATGAGGCTGTGATAGAGCTGGAATCTCTCCTTCTTTCTTCTCTTTGAGAAACTCTTCATCCTTAGATCTTTACTTTAGGAGCTCTCTTAAGGGCTAAGATGATTTGTGAATAACTTTTATCTTTACCATGGTCTAGTCTTTAACTTTAACGTGTTCCAGCTCCTCCAGCAATCTGCCACTGTAGCTGAAACTTTTCTCCCTTCTGTTTTCGTCATGCCCTACTGTCACTCCAATTTTTCCGGTGACTTTTATTCTTTGAATTCTGATTTAAGCTCGGCTTTTGTCAGGATCTGATGGTTTTAAAACCGTTTTACCAAACGTGTGTTTTGATAGAGAAAACCTGCGCTAAGATCTGTGTGCGAGTGAACAATTTGAGTGTAGCGAGCTGAAGTGACAGCAGTGAAGCCGCCAGCTGAACGTGCAATCAGCTGGACTCTGTCAATCATTCATCCGGGCCAGCGGGACACTTATAATGTCGAGCCCTGCATTATGTGCTCTTTCTTGGAAGTAATTCAGCCTCGCTTGCATCTTTCTCTTTCTCCTCCATGTTGGTCGCTTACAAGAGCGAGGCTACTCAGTGGCAGGAGTGGAGTCTCCTCCGCCCTTCTGTCTCTGCACAACAAGCGCTGCCGCGGAAATCTCGCGGAACAACGAAATATCGCCAGAACACTTTGAAGTGGTTTAAAAAATAAAATCGTTGTTCCCTTTTCCATATCAAGCATTAATTAAATATCGATCGAATCGAGCTTCACAATATATCGCCCAGCACTAAGTGATAATAATATTTATTGTAACACTAATCACTATTGTTATTACTGACACTAATAGGATGATAAAAGAAAAATAGTAAATGTAGGGATTATCATGAAACAAATGACCTGTGACCTTGAAGTTGGTAAACACTAGATCTAAAAAAGACATATTTCACTCAGCATTTAAAGCTGCTCAAGAAAACTTATAACAAAATACAAGTGACTGAAGAGTTTGTTAATATTTAAGATAAACACTGTTTTAAAAAACCTAGATATTTTACAGTATATATTTGAAGAACTAAACAGATTATTTTTACTCATTAAATCATATCTGGATTTACTCTGCCTTCCTGCAGTTCCTCACAGTTGGAATCAGTCTCAGTCGTCCCTGGTCTGATGTGTTGTAATTCCTCAGGTCCAACTCATCCAGAACCGCCTCTGACATCTGCAGCATGTAGGCCAGAGCAGAGCAGTGGATATCAGAGAGTTTCTCGTCTGATCGGTTCTCTGACTTCAGTAACTCTTGGATCTCCTGATGTACTGAGAGGTTGTTCATCTCCGTCAGACAGTGAAAGATGTTGATGCTTCTGTCAGGAGAGATATCATCACTGTTCATCTCCTTCAGGTGGTTGATGACTCTCTGGATCATTTCTGGACTGTTGTCTCTCCGACCCAGCAGGCCTCTTAAGAGTCTCTCGTTGGACTCCAGAGAGAGGCCATGAAGGAAGCGAACAAACAGGTCCAGGTGACCATTTTTACTTTTCAGGGATTTCTCCATGGCACTCCTCAGGAAGACATCCAGGGATAAGTCATCGCTTTCAGGAGTTTGAAAAATGATGTTGTTCTCTTTTAGGAAAGCCTTCACTACACCTCTCTTCCTGTTTGTCAAACAGTGGAACATGTAGACTGCAACCAGGAACTCCTGAACGCTCAGATGAACAAAGCAGTAGACTGTTTTCTGGAGGATCACACACTCTGTTTTGAAGATCTCTGTACAAACTCCTGAGTACACCGAGGCCTCTGTGACATCAAGACCACACTGCTCCAGGTCTTCTTTATAGAACATGATGTTTCCATCCTCCAGATGTTCAAACGCCAGCCTCCCCAGCTTCAGAAGAACTTCAATGTCGGCCTCCATCAGTTCATGTGGACTTGTCTCACGTCCCTCACCATACTTGTTCTTCTTCCTCTTTGTCTGAACCAGCAGGAAGTGTGAGTACATGTCAGTCAGGGTCTTGGGCAGCTCTCCTCTCTGCTCTGGGCTCATCATGTGATCCAGAACTGTGGCAGTGATCCAGCAGAAGACCGGGATCAGACACATGATGTGGAGGCTCCTGGATGTCTTGATGTGTGAGATGATTCTGCTGGACAGATCTTCATCATCACTGAACCTGCTCCTGAAGTACTCCTCCTTCTGGGCGTCAGTGAAGCCTCGTACTTCAGTTACCCTGTCAACACATGCAGGAGGGATCTGATTGGCTGCTGCAGATCGAGAAGTTATCCAGATGAGAGCTGAGGGGAGCAGATTCCCCTTGATGAGGTTTGTCAACAGTGTGTTTAACGATGATTTCTTTGTGACATCAGACACAACCTCCCTGTTTTTAAAGTCCAACGACGGTCTGCTTTCATCCAGGCCGTCAAAGATGAACAACAGTTTACAGACAGCGAGCGTCTCTGCTGTGACCTTCTGTAATGTTGGATGGAAAACACGGAGCAGCTCAAGAAGACTGTACCGCTTATCTCTGATCAAGTTCAGCTCCCTGAATGAAAGCAGGATCACCAGACTGACGTCTTGGTTCTCTGAGCCCTCTGCCCAGTCCAGAGTGAACTTCTGCACTGAGAAGGATTTTCCAACACCAGTGACCCCGTTTGTCAGAACCACTCTGATGGGTTTCTGTTGGTCGGGTTGAGCTTTTGTCTTTTGTTTCTGTTGGTCGGGTTGAGCTTCTGTCTTTTGGTTCTGTTGGTCGGGTAAGGCTTTAAAGATATCCTGACACTTGATTGGAGTCTCATGGAGGGTCTTCTTTTTAGAGTCTGTCTCAAGCTGTCTCACCTCTTGTTGGGTGTACACCTCTTCACTCTGTCCCTCTGTGATGTAGAGCTCAGTGTAGATCCTGTTGAGGAGGGTTCTACTTCCTGTTTCATCACTTCCTTGAGTCACATGTTCACATCTCTTCCTCAGACTGATCTTAAGTTCATCTGTAACCTCCTGCAGACCTCTATCTGCTGAAAGAGAAGAAACATATCCTGAGACTGGATTTATAAAATGTTCAAATAAACAATTTTCATTATTACACATTAAGCACCCAACACAAAAACATCCCTGTAGTAAAATGTGTGCTGCTACAAGAGAAATAAAATATACTGAATATAAACTGACTGCAAGAATCAGATAAAATGTAAATGTTTCATTTAACTATATATCAGTGAAGATACTAACTGCTTTGTCTTGTTTTTAGACACAATGACTTCAGTCTTACTTATTACAGTGCTGGACTTACTGGATATCTGCAGTCCTCGTCTTATTTTAGATCGTTCTCCACACTGGGAACAGGAGGACTCTCCTGATGAAGTAGACTGGTCCCAGTATGAGGTGAGGCACAGTCTGCAGAACCAGTGTCCACAGCTGGTAGAAACTGGATCACTCAGGATGTCCTGACACAAAGCACAGCTGGACAGCTGCTCCTCCACAGAAACAGACCCCTTTGTTATTCTGTGGAGATAAGGGAAATCATAAAGCCGTGAAAACTGAGACTGACATTTAGAAACCAGTGGTGGACTAAATCAAATAAAGCCACAAAAAGCAGTGTTTTAAAAAGGTGTGCCATGTCCTCCGCAGTGAGCATGTGCAGAAGTCTGTCTGTGTAAGAGTCTACCATCTGAGTCCAATAACTGACCTAGTATGTATCGGGTTTGACAAGGTTTTAATTTGGGGTGCAGAGTCAAGTCTGACAAATAATATTTAAATGCAAATAAAAAGTAGTCAACCTGCACAAAATATGTGCAGGAGCTGTGTCATGACCTGCACACTGAGCATGTGCAGGAGCTGTGTCATGAGTTAAAAAAATAAGTACCGTAAAATCCGAAATATAAGTTGCACCGGTATAAGACGCGCTGTGTTTTTGAAGGTCTCTCAGAGAGAAAATAAAGTTTACACTGTCTTCCTGCATGACAGTTTTTATTGTGTTCAGCAAAGTCCAAAACCTGCAGTTACTGTTCAGTTCTGTCACACTTTTAGTCTGTTTTCTCTTTGTGGAGTCTGCTCTCCTACCAGCTACAGTACGGTAGTCGAGCTCTCAGCCTGCAGGGAAAGTTGTGAAGCAGAGACTCCTAGCTTGTGAACTCTCTGCCCGACTCCGCTTGTTTCTCTTTAACTTTAATAAAGGACTCTTTCAATCAAAAGAGAGTTCAACAAGGTTTATTTATGGAACAATATCCTACAGTTTTCTGTAAATTAATTATTATGACCTCTTGAGGGAAAAGTTTTGAAAAAGTAGCGCAGCCAGACTGGTCTGTGTCGCTGTCTTTCCCAGAACAGCTTTAATACACTGAGGGCCTGATTTACTAAGTTTGGTGAGTGTGCGATTTTCGGGTGATCGACTAAGAAAATTTGCGTGAATGACACCAGGTGCAAACCTTGTGGAGGCGGTACTATTTAAGTTGGGTTTTTGCGTATTCTACTGGTTTACGTCATTGAGAGTTTGGACAGAAAGCAGGATGACTGCAAGCGCAAAATAGGTATCAGTGGAAGAGGCAAATGAACGTACAGTATTTTTGAGTTATAACAGATAAAGCTGAATATAACAAAAAGAAAATTTGGCTTATAAGAAAACCTCGTTATTAAACAGGGCCTCTCTTTTCTTCCCTCCATCTTTTGAAGATGAATTGTCATACATTGTGCAGGAGGTGTGAGCTGTGTCCTCTGTGGCGCTCAGACGAGACACTTGGCACATTGTTGAGCACCAGACAGCTGGCCAGCGCTGTGTCTGACCGGACATAAATGCTCTTCCTAAGAGGAATCGAAGACGGGGGTACAAGCAGTGGTGAGGTCCCCACATCCAAGTGTAGCAGCAGCGGGCTGTAGAGGGAGGAGACGAGTGCACGAGCTGGGGGAGAGACGCGCAGCCCGAGAAAAAGGAAATCCCAAGTTTAAAATAAAATGTTGGTGAGAAGAGGGAAATAGGAAGAAATAAACGTCAATGTTGAAATTCTTTAAAATGCAGAGGCTGTGAATGTTCAGTTGTTTGTTGGCTATAAATAGGCAACAATATAGTTTAATCATTGTGTTTCCTGCTGTCATTCCAAACGTATTAACATGTGTGGGGAATAACGTGATCTGTATGCCTTCTTTGATTGTGCCTATGTCTCCTCCTAACTTCAATAACAGCAGCCTGTTGTGTGTAACACTGGTCTCCTGGGTTAGCACGTTCTTTTCAAAGGTATTAAATTCAGACACCGTCACAATCACCACAGTTTTTGTCAGGCTTGGTAAATCACAATGCATGTACTAACTTAACTTATTTGCATTTTCTCCTTTCTAGGACAGAAACGCCCCATATTGAACAAACATACTAAATGGACAATGCGTGTTGTTTTGCTCATATGGTATCAAGTTTGCACACGTTTTAAGACACGCAAACATTTAGTAAATCAGGCCCAATGAATGGGGATCGTTTTTAATCACGTCCGGCCGCACGCAGTGATGGTGAGTTCTGGTAATGATGGCTCATGTGTCAACATTTTATACTGGTATATTAGTAATACCCAGCCAACTTTAAGATGAAATAAACAGGTATTAAAAGTGCATCTTACACCGGATTTTACGGTACTGCAGTAAAAAAAAAGATCTCATTGTGTAGTCATGTTAAAAAAATTAAAAAAGACAAACAAAGAGTGGACACAACAGAAAAAATGATTCAAAGAAAACGATCACAGCAGATCTCACTAAACTTCAGGATCAGTTTAAAAGACTACTTCCTGCAGAATCACAGAGAAGACGACTAGATACACAACCAAAGTGTCAATACTGAAATCATGTTATCTTATCTATAAACATATAATACATATATATAATCCTTAGTATGTTGGTATGAGTTCAGTGACTTTCTCTGTATGATCACTGTGTGCAGGTTGATGATTAAAAACAAGAAAATCAACACATTATGGTGTTCAGGACTCTTTTTTTAGCTTGACAGTTTGGTGATTAAAAAAAGTTCTCTTACAGTGGATCTGAGGGTCCTGGTTCATTACTGAGAAAGTAAGTAAGTAGAGAGGTTGACCTTTAGACCGGTCACTCTTCATAGAGAGACAGCTGGACAGAGGAGACTCTGCTCTGTCCCCCTCTTTGCCCCCTCGATCACTCATCTTCTGATCTCCAGATTGATCAGAGGACAATAAAAGACGTTCATGCAGGTGAAACAACCTGAGGACAAAATAACAAACAGGTGAGATACAAGCAGGAAAAATGTGAAAGACGGAGATGGTCAAGTCTCCACATCTCATTACCTGATGTGATCCTTCATTTGATTTTCTCTTCCTTCCTATCTGCCTAAGTACCTGATGCAGCACCTCAGTGCAGTTTGTTTAGTTCCTAACATGATTTGTCCGTCTGATCTGTCCTGAATAATGCCAATAACAAGACATTGAGTCTTACTAACATGTTAGTATTTAACAGCAACCATGACCTTTAGGACATTTGTACAACTAGAACTGTATAAAACAGGGTTGGAAATCAGCACTCGTCACATACGGGTGTCTTTTTGCAGTGGCGGGTGAATTTGCTCAACCTACCGACCACAGTGGCAGAGCGAGGGTCACAATGGTGCTCTATACGCTGGAATGGCTTTGCTTGGTGTAACATGATTAACAGAGCATAGACTAGCATCTCTTTAACAGCGGGTCAACCAGCTTCAGGTGTGTTTAAACTGACGCCTTGCTGTTTCAAGTCCAACATGATAAAAAGAAGCCCGCTGTGGCGTTGATTTGGGGTCAAAGGAGCAGCTGTAAATACTATAACTTCCGACATTTGTCTTAGGCTCAAAGTGCTGCAACAGAAAAGTAGAAACCCATGTATAAAACACAACATATATTGCACATTACCCATATACAGAAAAAGATATAAAAATATAAAACGCCATGATGTTTCTGCTGTAAATGTCTAGTGATGAAATGGTGAAACAGACAGTGGGTTATCTTAGAATTTATTCGGTCGAGGTCAGACAACAGCAACAGAACACAAATGGCTGACAAACGTTTCATGTTAACGGTCCTCAGGGTTTTTCCTGGCTTAGAATGGGCATTTGGGGGGGGACTATACGCGCTGTAGTAAACGTTCGACCCTCGTATAACAGTATAGTCTACGAGTCTGTATTACCTTATTTGACAGAAATCTGTGCATTTCCTGTTATTTCTGACCATTTTATAAAGAATATTATCATTATGCTTAAGTTACTGAAACCCCAATTAAATCTGGTAAATAATTTGTTTTTATTGCAACAGTGAAACAGGAGAGGAGAGGGATTTTGAGGTAGAGGGGTGTAATGAGATTGGGAGAGGGGGGGTCACATCCTGCCAGTTTCCAGCAGAAACCTTTATGACTGTGATGACTCTCCTCATATAAGCTCATATTCTTTTAAAACAATATATCCATTATCTTACCTCTCAGTCGAGGTTTCATTTCAGCTTCATCAGCCTTTGAGGACATAGCCCAAAAATAATGAACTAAAAACAAACTTTTTTTTCTGTTTATGAGTGAGACAAACAGCATGTCAGTATTTTATTTAATAGTTGATCGTCTATTTCTTGAATACAATAAGCCTTGATTATTATGTTACACGTCAGTACATTGTGCTGCCAGTTAAAATAAAGTGGCAGGTAAGAAATGTAAGACTGGTACCCGCCAAGCACCTAATGCGGGTAGATTTTCCGTTTGGCAAGTTAATTTCCAGTGGTGTAGTTGAGGGTATACGCAGGTCAGGTGTATAGGTATACCCACTTATTTTTCAGTCTGCATAGGGTAGACTCAGTAGTATGCAGCAATTTTTTTCACAGGGTTGGTGAAGGGATGATCCTCCCTACTGCCTAAAAAGTGTAAGACTGGTAGATTTTTGAATCCACCAGTCACAGGGGCACGTAGGCGAAAAAGTTAATCACCAACCGTGGTGT